TGAGAACCCACCGACTTATTGCACAGGGAGTGGCAAAGAGCCTCTGGACCTCAGCCCCGACATGCGGCTGCATTGTAGCAGAGGTTGGTTTCCTTAATCTCGGTGAGGGCCATGTTGTCTGCCGTGCCCAGAGTCCTCCCAGGAGGCTCAGAGGCACTGTGAGTACGTAAAGCCATTGCACTTCTCACAAACCCCGTGCATGTGGAGGTGTGGGCGTTCCTGTGCAGGAACATATCACAGCCTGATCAGATCCATGGGAAGTGAGAACAGTTCCGTGCTCTGGCCTCTCACGGTGGTGACAGCTCTTGGTCTCCTTCCAACACGGTGTCTTCCGAGAGCTGCAGAGGAATGATGAGAGTCCCCCCTCCCCAGCACTCAGACACCAGCCCTGAATCTCCCCGGTGTTCTCACTGCCCTGTCTGCTCCTGCTTCCAGGGGTGACGAGCCGTTGGCACACCAAGAAGCTCCCCAGGAAGACACACAAGGGCTTGCGCAAAGTTGCCTGCATCGGAGCCTGGCACCCGGCCCGGGTTGGCTACTCCATCGCTCGGGCTGGCCAGAAGGGCTACCACCACCGCACGGAGCTCAACAAGAAGGTATGGCCCAGATGGGCTCCCTCAGAGCCTCCTCCCGTGCTGTCACCATCCTTCTTCGCATGGCCACCTCTGTTCCTCCCGGCTTCTCAGATGTTTCCCAGAGATCTGCAGTGCTGTTGTTCTCCCGTGCCTTTCCCTGCTGAAGGGACACATCACAGGGGGCACATCTGGGCAGAAACTGCGCTGGCCCCGTGACGTGTGGGAAAGTTGCCATCTCAGTCTCCTTTCTGTTCCCAGATTTACCGCATTGGCCGTGGGATCCATGTGGAAGATGGCAAGGTGGTGAAGAACAACGCCTCGACGCACTACGACATCACGGAGAAGACCATTACGCCTCTGGTAAGGGCTGAGGGGGTAACAGGGCTGTGACTGGCCCTGGCTGCAGGAATCCGAGCCAGGGAAGTGATTTCTTGGCTGGGGACAGCTGCATGGGAAAGGATTGGAAGGAAATTCACTGCAAGAAATGCAGTAATTCCTTTCCTCGTATTTTGGATGTGGAAAACCATCTCTGTGAGGTGCTTTTTTAGGTCCATTGGTAGACCCAAATTTAAAACTTTCTAGCTAATAACTTGGGCAGGAACTGACAACTTTGCTTAAAAAGAAAGAAAAGTATAAATGACATTAAAAATCTAATATTTAACAGAGAAATGTTTGTTACTTGTTTAAAAATTCACTTTTGCTTATTAAAAACCATTAACTCAGGAGACAAGCCAGCTCTGCCCTCTGTTCACCACATTCTCCGGGGAAGGAAGCAGGGTTGCTGGTTCCCCAGTGCCTTAGCTGGGATCGTGCAGTCAGCATGGCTGACGTGCTCTGGTGGTCCTGAGCAGGCAACCTAAAGGGTGCAGAGTGGTTTCGCTGGCAGGACTGTCAGTCACTGCCTCCATCTTCCCTCCAAGATGCCACCTGAGGACATGTCTGCTCCCATCCAGCTCTCCTGCCTCCCAGCCCTCTCTCTGCCTCTCCCCACAGGGCGGCTTTCCTCACTATGGGGAGGTCAACAACGACTTTCTGATGCTGAAAGGCTGCGTCATGGGCACGAAGAAGCGTGTGCTCACCCTCCGTAAGGTGAGAGCGCAGCCGGCGCTGGCGAGGGACGGGCTGTAGCTCTCCGCAAACAGATTTGCCACGTGGAGAATGCCATTGCCTCCAAACGCTGGGCAGGGAGACTGGTCAGGTCCCTGACGCTGAGCTGCAGAGGGCATGTGGCACACGAGCAGGGTGCTCAGCGAGACCACTTGCAGTTAGATTGTCTGTGGCGGGGTGCAGGTGGATGTCCTCTCTCTGGAGACAAGCCCCAAGCCTGTGCGGCTGCGATGGGGAGCTTTGGCCGCAGGCAGACTGTGAGGAGATGAAAACTGAAGAGCAGGCTCATTTCAGAGCGGCTCTGCAGTCCGAGGCATCGCCTGCCACCTGAACACCAGGGTGTTTTTCTGACACGGCAGATTTTTGTGGAGATACTGTCTAATGGATGCACCTAGGATAGTTCAGCCCTGCTCCCATCAGAGCAGATGTCTGGATTTTCTGTACGGATAAGCCTGATGCACTGTGACTCCTCTTTTCCAGTCCCTTCTGGTGCATACCAGCCGCCGGGCTCAGGAGGCCATTGAACTCAAATTTATTGATACTACTTCCAAGTTTGGCCACGGCTGCTTCCAGACAGCTCAAGAGAAGCGGGCTTTCATGGTGAGTTACGCTCTGCGCCGGCTCCAGCTCCCGGGCCGTGCTTGCAGCTGGGGCTAAAGTAACCGATTGACTCCAACCAGGCATCTGCTTCTCGATGTAACAACAGCCAAATGAGTGATCGGGACCGTCTTGTATAAAAGACAGGCCCGAATTCAATTCAGACAGCAGATACTGTGCTGAGGAAGGACATGATGGTTGTGTGAGGGATCCAAGACAATCCAGCTAGCAAATAATACACCATATGGCCAAGCAGCTTCCATTCACCGCGGGACGTTTTAAACAAGCAGTTAACTTGGCAGGCACTGCCGTGGGCATATGGTCCCTTTCACCCGCTATTGTGCACTTCTTTGATTTGTTTGGAATGATTTGTGGCTTTAATGTTCTTAAGAGGAAAAGGTTGGGTCAAATGCAGACACAAATTTGCGATTCTTTTGTCAGTAAGCTTTCAAAAAGGCCGAGCAGTATATTTTTCTTAAATCCAGGGCAAAAAGAAAATGTAAGTAAATCCAAAACAAGCAGAGTTTCTTGAAAGTTTTGCAACCTACACCAGGCTGGTGCGTAAGTCTGAATTAAGGAAGTGTGAAGTAAGCCAGGCCTTCAGCTAGCAGAAATGAAAGAAAACTGCCTGGATACCACGCAGACGTGGATCCGGCCTGTCAGCTAGAAATCCCATCTGAAGCTGGCTAAGCCTCCTTAGCCCGGGGCGGGGGGGCTCCTACGCAGTGCCTTTGCAGAGCTCTTTAGAGGTTAAGCTGTTTTCCTTTATCTCCGTGTTAGGAGCTTGTTCTGTGTTCTGCTTTTGCTGTCGCTGCAAGTCCTGAGTAGCTGTGACGTGGATCTTAGCGACAGGAGGTGGTTTTACCTGGTTGCAGATGTTTTCTTTGCCATTTTCTACTGTGGGGTGAGAGTTTCTCCCGTGCATGCTGTGGTAAAACTTTACATTTGGCTGGAAGCAGAGGCACAGAAGTAATTTTTGCCATTTGCTCCCGTAGGACTTCCTTGCTCTGGGACAACCCCATTGCTTAGCTGGTGGAAACCCCTCAGGCTCTCTCGAGTTGGCTGATGAAAATCTGGGCCTTTGGCTGCCTTGCCTCCTCCAGGGCTCGGCAGCAGCTCGGCTGCTCCACCGCGGCGGGCTGCTGGTGGCACAATTCCTCAGCACAATTCCTGCTCCCCTCCACGTCCCCTGACTGCAGGCTGGCCCACCTGGCTCGAAGCAGGCCACTCATCGCCGCCCTTTGGCTGGTTTTAT